TTTTAATATCTGAAAAATTTTCGAAAATTTTCCGGAAATTTCCGTAATATTTTGTAAAAAATTCTGAAAATTTAATATTATATTAAAATTCCGAAAATTTTTGCTTATTAAAATTTCCTGATGAAAGAGGAGAAGATCCATATGATATGGATTCTTTTAAACAATTTAGTAGAAATCTAGTAGATTTTTGAGAATCTACAAATGGTATAGGTCCTGAATTAGCACATGTTGTAATTAGAATACATGGAATCTGTGTTAATTCTGCATCAGTTGAACGTTTATGGTCAAGTATGGGTTATTTTCACACTAATAAACGAAATCGGCTACAGGTATTTTTATTTTAATTGTATTATGTATATTTATTAAATTATATAAAATAAATTAATTATTTTTGTTTTTATACATGTATAATATGAAAAAATATTGGCAATGAGTCAAATTCGAAGTGAAATTTTATATACTCGAAAAGTAAATGAAGCTAGAGAATGTGATTAGAAATACAACGTTTGCATATAGTTGCACCAATTATTTCTAATGGTGAAGAATCAAATGAAGAAATCAAAGATCTTGAAGATAATGAATCAGATTGCAGAGAAATACAAGTTAGTGATGATGATGAAGATGAAATTAACATTAGAAATGAAATTAACAATGATGAAGGTGATATTGACATGTGGAATGAAATCAACAATAACAATGATGAAGAATTAAATTCTGAAGAACAAAGATTGACTCAATTGATTGAAGAATGGATAGAATTAGGGAACTGGGAGAATAAATTTGATGATGAAAATGATCAAATATTTTTATCAACAGAATGGAATAATGATTTTAATTTAGGAGATAGAGAAATACATCTAGCTGATGATGATATAGCAAAATGGAATTTAAATATTTTGTTTGAATCATTATTAGAATCTCCCACATTTTTAGGATCAGATGAAATATTTACTAATGCATGTTAATAATAAGAATTAAATTAAAAAATTTATTTTTAATAAAATAAAGTTTAATTGTTAAATTTTAATACATAAATTCTTTTTTATTAAATATTTAATTGTATTTTATTTTTTTCGCACCTTTTTTTACATAAAATCGTATCTATAAAATCCTGCAATCTAATTGGTCAAAAAATATGACCGAGGTCATAAAAGTTTATAGCTTATGAATGACCAAATGACATATGTCAGGTCATAGAAGTCATAGAGGTCATATTAAGTCATAGGCCAACACTGGGTAAAAAGGCTAAATTCTGATGCAATTTTGATTGACTGGTGCAATTATAAAATTTATTAAATAATTGTTTTTTGATATTTAAAGATAATTGGTTTTATATTTAGTTTTAAATTGATTTTGTATAATAAAGAATGATTTTTATCTTGAGAGAGAGAGATAATAAGAATTTTAAAAATTGTAGTGAAGTTTAATATGGTTGAATTGAGTTGAAATTTAGTTGGCACAATTGAATTGAACTGGAATTTAGCTGATATAATTGAAATTTAGCTGGCATAATTAATTGAGTCAGAATTTAGCCAGAACAAAATCAATTAGCCAAGGTACAATTGAGCCAACCATCCTTATTATATGTAAAAAATCTTTAATTCAATTATTGAAATTTTAATTATGCCTATGTAATTGTATTAAATAATTGTATTAATTGCATCAATTTTTCATATAACTCGATTTCAAATTTTTATAATTTTAATTGTGTCTAATTAAATTCAATAGTTTTGATAACATATATACTGTATCTTATGCTAGTGTTCCAGGTTGATCCAATCTATTAGAAGTATTATATATTACTGTATATTATATGTTTTTGTCTTGATAATTTTTTTCAGTAATACTATAACTATACTTGTACTCAAAATTAAATTTCATATAGTTTTGAAAATGAAATAAAAATGTTTTTCATAGAAGACAAAATTATTTTACTTAAAATTTGAAATTTTTTAACCACTCAAATAAATTCTTTAATTAAAAATACATTGGATACTTTTTTTATTTCCATATATGGAATAGATATTTCAAAAAGTTGAAAACATATATAATTATAACCTAGTTTAGATAATCTTTATTCTAATATCATATTATAAACTTATGTATTTGTTATTATTTATGAATAAAGAGGAGACCTCACTTGTACCAAAAAAAAAGAATAAAAAATTTTACATATCTTTAATTCCTGAATTAATCATGTAATTAAGAAAATCAGATGGATTCATGACCTGCAAAAAAAAAGTACAAGGTCTCATATAAAATCATAAGATGAACAAAAGTGAGATACTGATTTGGATAAAAGTATAATCTGAAAGACAAGCCATTATTTAGGAGATAGAAACAAAAAATAAAAAGAAGGGAAATATGATAAATATCGGTATTATTATGAATTCTCACGGATCACATTATGCTGACGTTTAGAGTAACCATATATCAATTGTATAATATTGCATCATTACAAAAACATTATACATTACTAACTGCATTAATGCGTTATCTTGATAAGCGATGTGTAATCAGATGACTCAATACATGATTATCTATCGATAAAAAAGGAAATTTAAAATTAAAGAAAATTTTACAATGATGTTCGGTATTTGATGCGTCATTTCATTTAATTTTTTTAATATGACCAATCAATGCTATAATTAATCTTTTTTTTAAAAGGTATATTATAGATGAGCATAAACGAAAAAAAAGAACCAAATGCTTTCCTATAAATTTATCTTTAATCACCTATTATAAATATTATCATAAAAAAAAAACGTGTTTTTTCATAACCAAGAGACAATTTTTGATATTGAATTAGAAATACAAATTCAATTTATTTTCTCGATGATTATCATTTTTCTCAATTGTTCTATAAACTTGATAGATTTCAGGAACTTCACGATCCCTTTTTTAGCCACCAAGATTCCATATTTTAATTAAATGCATCATCAAATGACGGAAAAGTACATATGGTTTTATAGCTAAAATAGTTACACCATCTGTTTTAAGGTTTTTTAATTGTATTTTTTTTTTGATTTATACATGTAGATCATCATTTATTAGATTATTAGATTATTAGATCATTATTTATCATTTACAGAATAACTGGAAAAAGAAGGTTCAATAAATAAACTCTGTCTCGTAATACTAACCCAAATAAGGAATTTATTGTGGCCTTGTTTATATTATTTGCTCACACAATAGACATTGTTCAAGCCTGAAAAAATTTTTTCCCATATACGCGTGAAAAATTTTTATTTGAGACGTTTTTTTAAGGATGTCTGAGGAAACTATTAGTACCCAAAGCTCAGGATCTGTTCAAAAAGAACCTTCTCTTGACGTGGTAGAAGAACTTAAATTACTTTGCGAATCACCCGAGCCGAGTCCACCCGAACGGAGTCCACCGAAAAACCCTTACTATAATTATCACGTTAGCAAAACCATTCAAAGCGTGAGTTTTTCTTTATTACTCAAAAAATATTAGAAACGTAATGACACTTAGTTTGTGAAACACAAAAAAGGTGGCTGATAATAATAATAACCATGAAATATATTAAAATACCCAAAAATACTTCTCTTCTAAGCTTTATATTTTTTATAAAGAAAATAAAATAAAATCACATTAAAAAATATTTAAAATATTCATATTCCACATATATTCTAATATTTAATTATTAATGTTATTAATGGAAATACAGAGAGATACTGCGTATTTTGCGAGATCTTCTATGTCAACTCCTTCAGAACAAATACTTAGTCAAGAATTTGATGATGGAACAATTGTTGGGGGGAAATATGGTTAGTAACTAAAATAAAATTATTTAATAATTAAATATTATATATATATATTAAATTCTTGCATCATATTATATAATATTATATAAAAATTTATATTTATGTTAATTTTAATTAAATCACCCAATTTATCCAATTTATCCGATTTATCCGATTTTTAAATTCAAATTAAAATCGAAATTAAAAAAATGATGATGATAATATTACAGAGGATGGGGAACATATTAAACAAGAATTAATTACACTTTATACCAATTTTCAAAAATGTCTCGATTTACGTGATAAATATATGGCAATTTCATTACAAAGAGTGGGTGATAATCCTAAAGATAGTGATGATTGGAAGATTTATCCACCTCCACCAAAACCAACTTATAATTCAACAAATTCACCATATTCAAATACTGATCGTAAAAAGAAGACAGTGGTAGGAGAAGATTTTGAATTTAGTAAATGTGAAATACCCAGGGAACATCACGTATGAATTTTTTTTATATTATAATTTATTTAGTTTTTTGTATATAAATTTATACAATTATATATACAATTATATATACAATTATATATACAATTATATACAATTATCAAAGGAAATATTCATTACTAGTATTTAATCATGTAAATATATTTATATTTAATCATTTTAGTATCTTTATGAGTTAGACTCTAAAGGTGTTTACCAAATATATCAATCTCAAGAAGGTAATAAAAATAAAATTAATAATAATAATATTTATTTAATTCAATTCAAATTCAATCTATTCAATTTAATTCAATTTAATTTTAATTTAAACTATTATTTAAAGATTTCAAAAGTAAAAAACCAGCTTTTATAATTCCATCTAATAAAGAATATTTCATGGATCTCGATTTTATTCTTGGTGTAATTTCTGATGGACCAACGAAAAGTTATGCATATCGACGTTTATTATATTTGGAAAGTAAATGGAATGTGTTTGTCTTATTAAAAGAATATCAGGAAATTGCTGATTCAAAAGTAATGAAAACAATTATTATTATTATTATTATTATTATTATTATTATTATTATTAATTGTTATTTTAGCAAATCTTAATTTTATCTATTAATAAAATAAATGATTTTTGTATTATATTATATTTTAGAAAGTACCTCATCGAGATTTTTATAATGTTAGAAAGGTGGATACTCACGTGCATCTTTCATCTTGTATGAATTCTAAACATCTTTTAAGATTCATAAAGTCCAAATTGAAGAAAAATGCCAATGTTTGTATTTTAATTAATTCTTGTTATTTTCTTATTGTTTTTTTTATTGCTGCTGCTTCTTTTTTTTTAATTGGATCTTTTTTATTGTTTCCTTATATTTGTTTATTAGGATCAAGTAATTTATAGAGATAATAAAGTTCTTACGTTAACCGAAGTATTTCAAAGTTTGGGCTTAACCGCATACGATCTTAGCATCGATACATTGGACATGCACGTAAGATTTCTATCGTGTAAGAATCAACCAATATTTAATTGGTTTTATTTTATTCCAAAAGATTAATCTAAATAATCCTCATCACATTTTTCAAACAAACAAACAAATAAATAATTTAATAAAATAAAATATAAAAAAAAAATATCGGATCGAAATAATGATCTACAATAAAAGGCTCATACAGATTCATTCCATCGATTTGATAAGTTTAATTTAAAATATAATCCAATCGGTGAATCTCGATTGAGGGAAATTTTCTTGAAAACCGATAATTATATTCATGGAAGATATTTGGCTGAACTTACCAAAGGTATTTTTTATTTTTATTTTTTTTTTATATTGTGAAATTTCTTAATAATATAATTTTAATATATATATATATATATATATATGCGTGTGTGAGTAGAGGTCATATCCGATCTCGAGGCAAGCAAATATCAAATGGCTGAATATCGAATTTCAATATATGGACGGTAAATGGAGATAGGTTATTTTTAATATATATAAGTGTATTTGAGACTTGATTTGACTTGATAATTTTTAATATTTAGTTCAAAATCCGAATGGGATAAATTAGCGAAATGGGTGATAGATCATAAAATATTTTCACCAAATGTTCGTTGGCTTATTCAAGTGCCAAGGCTTTATTATGTATATAAAGATGCTCAAATTGTAGAAAGTTTCGAAGACGTTATAAGAAGTGAGTAATAATTATAATTATAAAAAATAATAGAGATTAAAACTGATTATCTTGATTATCTTGATTATATTTAAAATAATTTCATTAAAATATAAATTATTATTATTTTTTTATATATAATATTTAATAATAGATATATTCGAACCATTATTTGAAGTGACAAAAGATCCCAGTTCACATCCAGAATTACATGTATTTCTTCAAAGAGTAGTAGGATTTGATAGTGTGGATGATGAATCTAAAGCTGAAAGGAGAATTCACAAGAAATATCCTTGTCCTAAAGATTGGAATACAAATCTCAATCCACCTTATTCTTATTACTTATATTATATGTTTGCAAATTTGGCCAGTTTAAATCAATGGAGAAAAGTTAGAGGATTTAGTACGTTGTTTTATATATTCATATATTTATTTATTTATATTTATTCGATCCCGAGAAATCAATCATGTTGTTATTTATGTATCATTCGATTTCGAGAAATTAATCATGTTGTTATTTATGTAGATACTCTTGTACTTCGACCACATGCCGGAGAAGCAGGAGACACGGATCATCTAACTTCAGCATTTCTTACATCACAATCAATTTCACATGGAATTTTATTACGTAAAGTTCCTGCCTTACAATATCTTTATTATCTTAAACAAATTGGAATAGCGATGTCCCCTTTATCAAATAATGCGTTATTCCTGAATTATGAAAGAAATCCTTTCTTAAGTTTCTTTCAAAAAGGATTAAATATAAGTTTAAGTACGGATGATCCACTTCAATTTCATTACACTAAGGAACCTCTTATTGAAGAATATAGTGTGGCAGCTCAGGTATAGATTATTTTATTATTTATTATTTATTTATTTTTTATATTATATTTATTATTTTGATTATTTATTATTATTTGACTATATATAGATTTGGAAATTGTCTTCTTCGGATATGAGTGAACTTGCACGTAATTCCGTAATTCAAAGTGGATTTGAGATGGCCATAAAGAAACATTGGTTAGGAGCACATTGGTATTTACCAGGAAAATATGGAAACGGTAATTATAATACAATTTCTTTACTTATTTATTTATTTATTTATTTATTAAATTACTTTATCAAATTGATTTTTAATTACTTTATCAAAATTTTTATTATATAGATATTCATAAAACCAATGTTCCAAATGTTCGAATGCAATTTCGTCAAGATACATTAGAAGAAGAAATTCGAATGGTTGAAAAATATTCAAAATTGAAATCCAATAGTTCATTTGAACAAAATACCGTTCACATGATTCATCCTCCCCCTCAATCACGAGGTATTAACACTGATATTGCATCATATCCAACTACTTCTTCATTTTCATCTTTGGGTGGTTTTCCTTCTTCATCATCATATCCTTCATCGTTTAAAACAATGACAGATGAAAATAATAATAATTATAATGGTAGTGGTAATAATAGTAATAATAACAATTCGGGAAGTATAACTCCAGTAGGAAATAAATTACTTTTCTCAGATACTGATGTGGGTGTCATGCCTGGAGTTGCTATGTTTGCTGAGAGAGCGCATAAAAGAAGAAAAAATACATCTATCAATAAGATCGAAGAAAGGGAAGATTAAGATGATTAAAACATTTGAAACCATATAATATTATTAATAATTACATAAGGATTATAATTATAATAGTTATGGGATTTTTATATTTTTCAATAAATATAAATTGTATGCTCATCTGATATAACTTTATAATTATCTTTACATTTTTTTTTGTTGCAGTTGTGATTCGTGTTACAGTGTTACAATTAATATTTCCCCTTAATAATATTAATTTATACAATTTATTAAAAACGAGGCAATAGAGTTTTATTTCAAGTTTATAAATATATGCATATAATCTTTGTTGTAATACGAGTAATATAAAATATTACTACATATAGAAGTGAAATGCAATGATGCAATAAACATTATAAACTTTGAAAATATATAAATCATGTGAACGAGACCTTAATTTTTTAATATTTATCAAATAATGCAGTAAAAGAACCAATCTCTCTAATAAAAAATATAGTTTTATTTTTGAGACAAATATTTCATACATAAATTCTTTATAGTATTCCCTAATTCTATAATTCTTTTACGAACACATGCCAGTGTAATCTTTAAATATTTAAAGTCTGGTCACTTGACTCGAGTGTTTCCTCAAAAATTAACCTTAGATCTGTTCCGAGGTGTTATTGATCTGAAAGTTACATCTCATTAACATAACGAGATGTGGTACTACTGGTTCCTGGTAATAACATAATTTAGTTTGTTTAATACCGCATAAATGTCTTAAATTTTATAGTAATTTTTACAATGTTTAATTACATTTGGGAAATATTTTTACAAAACTTTTCCAAACTTGTTAAATTAGTTTAAATTTGTCTAATTTAAAATTATAACTCGTTATGTACTCTTTAATCCCATAATGAATTTAACCATTTTAATTACACTTAATTACGCATGCATTTAACAAGTATATTTTGTGTAACCAGTAATTAGTGTAATTACTAAAATTATTTCCTTTTGCGTAATAAATTAGTTAATTCAAATCTTCTACTTTTTACTCTCACATTTTCCCCTCCTTTCCCTTAAACCCCTCCCTCCTGACCTTTCAAAAACATAAAAATCTCTCTTTTTTCTATTTTGGTCTTAGCTGATGGCCTCTCGTTTTTCTTCTTGTTTCATTTTATCCCCTCCTTTTTTAAGTTAAAACTAAATTTTTTTTTTCATAAAATTTTTTTTTTTTCATTTTATATCAAATCTTTTCTCCTCTTCCTTCTTACCTCTATCTTTCCCTTTTATATATATATATATATATTTCTTTTTCACCTCCCGATATGAACTTTTCTAAACGGGAAAATAAAGATATTGAAAACCAAAAGAGAATATCTACTGCTTCCTCAATACAAACTTCTTCGAAACGACGTGTATATGTTAATATTCCTTTACCACCTACAGAATTAGATCAAAATGATGAACCGATAGAGAATTATGTCGCAAATAAAATTCGGACCTCAAAATATACCTTGTTGACCTTTTTACCTAAAAATTTAATAGAACAATTTCGTAGGGTAGCAAATATGTATTTCCTTTTTTTAGTTATCTTACAAACTTTTCCCTTGGTGGGTGGTGATGTACAACCAGTTTTAGCAGCCACTCCATTATTATCAATAATAACAATGACAGCTATAAAGGATGCATTTGAAGATTGGAAACGTCATTCACAAGATAATTCTTTGAATAGATCTAAAACTGTAAAATTATCAAATTGGAATAATGTAAATGTAACAAATGATGGAAATAATTCTAAATTTTTAAAAAGGATATGGTTTAAAATTTTTGGAAATACTAGTAAAAATAGTAAAAATTATAATATCCAACATAATAATCTTAATAATAATAATAATAATAATAATGCTCGATGGGAAGAAAATTATTGGCAAGATATTAAAGTAGGAGATATTGTTTGTCTAAAAAATAATGAATCTGTACCAGCTGATATGATAATATTATCTACTAGTGAACCTGATGGTTTGTGTTATGTAGAAACTAAAGAACTTGATGGAGAAACAAATCTTAAAGTTCGTCATTGTGTTTCGGCCACATCCTCTATGACTACCGAAAATGATTATGAAAGATTTAAATTTTTTGTAGAATCAGAACAACCACATCCAAATCTTTATTCTTATACTGGTGTATTATATTGGGATAATAATAACAATAATAACAATAATAACAACAATAAAAATCAACAACAACAAGAACAACGACAATCATCAGAGATTATGATAAATAATGAAGAAAATAATAATTATCAAATTATTCCAATTTCTATTAATGATGTTCTTTTAAGAGGATGTGCACTTCGTAATACGGAATGGGTTATTGGATTAGTTCTGTTTACAGGAACTGATACAAAGATCATGTTGAATTCGGGTGATACACCAAGTAAAAGAAGTAGAATTGAAATTGAAACAAATTTTCATGTACGTAAGAAAGAAAGATTTATGTAGTAAAATTAAATTAAATTATGTGGAATATATTTTTTTTCAATATCATTAAGAATTATCTTTATTTATCAATTTTATCATTAGGTCACTATGAATTTCGTGATTTTATTTTTAATGTGTTTTGGATCTTCAATTGCTGACGCTATTTTCTATATTCAACCTAAAAGTTCTGCTGATGTATTTGAAGCGGGAGGTGGTAACGCTGATAGTGCCTTAGCAAGTGCTTTTCTAACTTTTTGGTAACAAATTAATTTTATTGTGTTTTATTGATTTATTTAATTTAATTTTATTTATAATATATATATGTATATATTTATTTATTTATTTATTAATGTGAATTTAATTTTACAGGGTGAGTTTAATATTATTCCAAAATATTGTGCCTATATCATTATATATTACTATTGAAGTGGTCAAAACTCTTCAGGTACGAGAAAAAAAAGATATTATAATTTTATCGAGTAAAATCAAAATTTTTTTTTGATTATTTCATTAATTAATTAATTAATTTTATATATAATATATTTGTTATTTTAGGCTTATTTTATTTATTCAGATATTGATATGTATTATCCAAAACTTGATTATCCTTGTACTCCAAAAACCTGGAATATTTCTGATGATTTGGGTCAAATAGAATATATATTTTCTGATAAAACTGGTACTTTGACTCAAAATGTTATGGAATTTAAAAAATGTACTATTAATGGAATCTCTTATGGTCAAGGTGAAACTGATACAACTCGTAGTGCAAAATTATCTGAACGTGGTAAATCATCTGCTAAGAATGATGAAATGAATCTGGCTGCTGAAAAAGATTTAATGTTACAAGAAATGTCCACAATATTTAATAATAAATATATGTCTTCAAATGTGACTTTTATTGATTCAAAATTATATCAAGATTTAAAAGCGGATGATCAACAATCTAAAGCAATTCAAGATTTTTTTTCGGCTTTAGCATTATGTCATACTGTATTGGTGGAACATCCTGATGAAAATAATCCTTATAGAATTGATTATAAAGCTCAATCCCCTGATGAAGCTGCTTTAGTTGGTTGTGCAAGAGATGTGGGTTTCACATTTCTTGAACGATTTCAAGATACTTTGACCATAGAATTATTGGGTGAACGTAAAGAATTCACTTTACTTAATGTATTGGAATTTAATAGTACTAGAAAGAGAATGTCCGTAATTATTCGACCTCCTGAAGGTGGGATAATTCTTTTATGTAAAGGAGCTGATAGTGTAATATATGAACGATTGGAAAAAGGACAACAAACGAAATTAAAAGAAGATACGCTGGCAGATTTAGAAATGTTTGCTAATGAAGGTTAATATTAATTATATTAAATAATAATAAATAATAAAATAATATTAAATAATATATATCTCTCTCTCTTAATAATAGAATATATATAATTAAAATTGAAAATATTAATTATTCATAAAATTATCTTTTATAAAATCTAGGTCTTCGAACACTTTGTATAGCATATCGAACGATACCTGATGATGAATATAATCAATGGGCAAAAAATTATACAGAAGCTGCATCTAGTATTAAAGATCGTGAAGAGAAAGTAGAACAAGTATGTGAAATGATTGAACATTCATTAGTCCTCATGGGTGGTACAGCTATTGAAGATCGTCTTCAAGAAGGTGTACCAGAAAGTATAGCAACATTAGCCACCGCCGGAATAAAAATTTGGGTTCTTACAGGAGACAAAACTGAAACTGCCATAAATATAGGTTTTGCTTGTAATCTATTACAAAAGGATATGTTATTAATTATAATCGCTGCTACAGATAAACGAAGTACTGGTCATCAACTTAAAGATGCTTTAAATAAATTCTTTGGTCCTAATGTTGATTCCGTTAATCGAAGTAGTAAACATGCTTTAATAATTGATGGTGAAACATTAAAATATGCATTAGATAATTCATTAAAAGATTTACTTTTGGATTTGGGAAAGAGATGTCAAAGTGTTGTATGTTGTCGTGTTAGTCCATTACAAAAAGCTAAAGTTGTGGCTTTAGTAAAAGAAGGATTGAATGTGATGACCTTATCTATAGGCGATGGTATTTTGAATTTTTGAATTTTTATTTTTATATTTTTATATTTTTATATTAATCATTCATTGATTTGACATTTAAAAACTGACCTCTGATTTTTTTTTTGAATGTAAAGGAGCCAACGATGTAAGCATGATTCAAGAAGCTAATGTGGGAGTTGGTATTGCTGGTGAAGAAGGTAGACAAGCCACAATGGCTGCAGATTATGCCTTTGCACAATTTCGATTTTTGGATAAATTATTATTGGTTCATGGTCGATGGTCATATATTCGTATTTCCGAAATGATATCATGTTTCTTTTACAAGAACATAGTTTGGACTGTTGCCATGTTTTGGTATCAAATTTTTGCTGGGTATGTATTTATATATATATATATTAAAAGTTACGAAAGAATGACGAGAGATAATATTGAGAGAAGATTAAATGATTTAATTAATCATCAATAATTTAAATTTTTCTAGATTTACAGCACAATATTTATACGATTATACATATATATTGCTTTATAATCTCTTATTTACAGCTTTTCCGGTTATGTTTCTTGGTACGTTATTAAAAATTATTAAAAATTATTATATTTTTGAAAAATAAGAAAATTATATTATTAAAGAGGAACTTAACTAATTTATTATTATTATTATTATTATTTTGTTGTAGGTGCTTTTGATCAAGATGTGAATACAAAAACTTCATTAAAATATCCTCAATTATATAAGCGTGGTATTCTTCAACAAGATTTTACGAAATCGAAATTCTGGCTTTATGTTATCGATGCCGTTTACCAATCAGTTGTATGTTTTTTCATACCTTGGGGATTATTACTATATGGTTCATCACATGCAAACGGACTACAAAACAATGGTATAAGTGATTTAGGAACAATGGTAGCTGGTTCTATAGTTGCCACAACGAATTTATTTATTGGATTAAACATAATGAATTGGTCATGGATGGCATTTGCAGTTATTATCTTTAGTATTCTATCATTTTATATTTGGGTAGAATTTTATTCACTTTGGTACATTGGATTCTTTAGAATGGATTTGATATTATATACAGAAATAGAATTTTGGCTTGCAGTTTCTTTAGCAGTTGTAATCAGTATTTTACCAAGGTATTTGGTTAAATATGTTCATAAAACTTATTGGCCAAGTGATACAGACATTATACGTGAACAAGTGGATGAAGAAAGGAAAGCCAAGAAAAAACAAATGAAAAGATATTCTGAGGAAGAACATCAAGATGAAGACAAAGTACCGATAAATAATAGAGATGATATTCCTACCCCAAGTCATACTCCAATATATGAAGTTGGACAATCAAGTAATGCATCAGTTAAAAGTATACCAATTGTACCACCAATAATAGAACCAACCTCTTCATTAACATCGATGAAACCAAGATCCATGTCAAAATTACCAAAGATCAGTACATTAATGAAATCACGAAAAAATTCTTTACGATCATCAGAACAAATTGTTCATATGGGATCAGGAAAACGACAATCATTCACTGGTTTTGCATTCTCAGGTGAAGAAAGTTCATTTGAAGAATTTCGACGATCAGTATATCGACCAATTGGATCAAATCGTGGACGAAAAATATTATTACAGAGAGCCAACACTTTAAATACTTCCGCCCCTGCAACTGGTAGTAATAGTCGTGTATCATATTTATCAGCCGCATTAGGAAGAAGTAAAACGTTACCCAGTAGATTATTATTTAGTCGATGGTCACCAGCTCCTAGTAGATCACCTTCACCATCACCAATACGGTCGAATAGTAGTAGAAGTTTATCGGGTGAAAATGAAGGCGGCGAAGCAGTAGAATTATCGGTCATATCAAATAGGCAAAATGAATAGAAAAAAAAAAAAAAAAGAAACCGGATTTCAGAACAATTGTTTCAATTTGAATTTTTATTAAGATTCATTTCCAAATTATTCAATATTTTTTTTTATTCTTTGCGTGTATTATTATTTTGTAAAGTAATTTGGTTAGAAATTTTTTTTTTATAATACCACTACTACTACTATATACCACAATTATAATTTTTAATATTATTTAATATCATTAGGTAAAATTCATATGTCCATTCATTTTTCATTTTTCATTTTTCATCATTTTTTTTTTTTTAGAAATTAAATTATCGATTTAATTTGACACACATTATAACCCTTTATCACCTAATAATAAAATTTTAATTGGTAATCATGATTTATACTCCAAGTTGTTAATATACATTGATTGTAATTACTGGATCTTCATTTAAAAATATAAAACTAGATTAAAAAGAAAGAATATTTGAAGAAATTAATAGGTTGTGAAAGAGTAGAAGAAAAATTTATTTCTTTATTGTACAATAAATTCTATTCATTTAAATTATCCAAAGAATCTACCTTGATTTAAATACAGTTTGGAACATAATAAAATAAATCATCAATGAAAATTACAAAAGGAGTTGAGTTTTTAAATATATAAAAAAAAAAGATATTTAAGATAAGTAAAATGTAGGGAGTTTTTTTTTTTTTTTTAATTTAATTATAAAATCATAAATGATATCTGCTTTTGCAAAAGAAAAGAATTTGAGCTGGAAATTGTCAACATCTTAAGTTGTGGTGAGTGGTTTTTCCCACCAAGTTATATGTTGAGTTGAAGTTACATAATGGCTGTTGTTTGATAGTAAATGTTCTTTTCAGTTTCTGATGTCCCTGCACAACACTAGTGCTAGAGAATTCAAGGTGAATAGGATATACTCTAACACACCATAGAATATTCCAGTTGTGCACCTTTAATTCCTATTAGGTTCTCAGCTCACATTGTTTACTATGTAAGGATAAACATATGATAAGTGGTAAAATGTTATTTGAGATAATTATTTATTTTATAATAATATCAATGATCCAGAGATCATACTGGAAGTGTATTCTACAAATGCAATTTCAAATCGGATATAACATGTGTATAGATTAGATTACTTGGAAATTTAATAATTTAAATAATTATTAACTGTTTTATGAATTGTACCAGAATTTAACCTTTAATCTTCGTGCCAAATTTAATCTTGTACCTGAATTTTGCTTTTGTACCTGAATTTAGTTTTTGTACAAAATTTAATCAGAGATATAATAATTGAGCTCACCATCCTTAGTTGTTTTCACACTTCTCAATAGTTTAATTTATTTTTCTAATTAATTCATATTTGATCAATTTTACAAGAATATTTTGAAAAGTTATTGCCAAAGAGACAATAATTCTTTTCAAGAGAAGATCATTGTCCTATTACCAGATAACAAAAAAAAATAAATTATTAGATTTGGAAAAGAAAAACCTTTAGATGGAATAGAATTTCAAATCTGAGATTAAATTTATTCATAATTTGAACATCTCAAATATTAATTTTTTGAGTTACCCCCCTTGAACTGTGATAATTAAAATAGCATGAAACCAGGAATGAAGACTACAAAGCCACGTGTCAGGGAAAAGATATTGTCAGCCATATAGAAATGTACCACGTATTAGACAGAATTAGACAATAAATTATAAATTATAAATTTATCATAAATTCTTCAAAAAAAAACCAACTTTTTTAATAATGATGAATTTTGAAGAAATTGAAGAACAAGACGGAACACGCTTTTCATGGAATGTCTTTCCGTCATCTCGTTTAGAAGCAACTAGAACAATTGTACCTATATCATGTCTTTATACTCCACTTAAGGAGAGAGAAGACTTACCACCAATTTATTATGAACCAGTTACTTGTAAGGCACCTTGCCGTGCCATTTTGAATCCATACTGGTATGTGAGATAAATTTATAATTTTATTGCAAGTGTTTTTAGTGTTTCAACATTCTTACATATAATTTTTTATAATTTTTATAGTCAAATTGATGTTCGCGGAAAACTTTGGATATGCCCTTTTTGTCTCCAAAGGAATGCTTTCCCCCCTCATTATAAAGATATTTCCAATACTAACCTTCCCGCCGAATTGTTACCAAAGTTTACTACTATTGAGTATACCTTAAGTCGTGCAGCTCAAGTTCCACCAATTTTTTTATTCGCGGTGGATACATGTCTTGAAGACGATGATTTGAAAGCATTAAAAGATTCTTTGGTTGTTAGTTTAAGCTTGTTACCACCTCATGCATTAGTTGGTTTAATCACTTTTGGTACAATGGTAAATAATAAATCTATTTATTTATTTAAAGATTTCAATTAAACAATAATTTGAATAATTAAATATTGATTAATTATCAAAATATTAAAATTATTGATTACATATTAATTATATATTAATTACTTACATATCTTAAATTATATATTAATAGGCACAAGTTCATGAACTTGGATATAGTGAATGTCCAAAATCTTATGTTTTTCGAGGAACCAAAGAGTATAGTTCAAAACAAGTTCAGGAGATGCTTGGATTAACTGCAACAATGATACGTCCTCAAATGCAAAGACCTGGTCAACCAGGTATTACACCAAATCTAGGAGCTAGTAGGTAATATTTATTCTTTTTAAATTATTAAAGAATTATCTTTTTATTTAATCTTTAATAATAATAATAATAATTATTATTATTAGATTCCTTTTACCAGTTCAACAATGTGAATTTACTCTAACTTCAATTTTGGAACAACTTCAACGTGATCCGTGGCCTGTTGCTAATGACAAACGACCACAAAGATGTACGGGTGTAGCTATGAGTGTTGCTATTGGTTTAATGGAGGTAATAATAATTAATATTAATATTTCAAATATATCAATAAATTTAATTTAACTTCAAATACATTTTAAAAAATTATGTAGACAACATTCCCAAATACAGGTGGTCGTATTATGCTTTTCTGTGGTGGAGCAGCTACAGAAGGTCCGGGTATGGTTGTAGGTAATGAATTAAAGGAACCTATTAGATCACATCATGACATCGAAAAAGATAATGTTAAATATTTTAAAAAGTCAACGAAGGTAAATTCTCATAATTATATTATTATTATTATTATTATAATTCATTATTACATCGGGATTTCACTATTATCTTCTATCTCTCTACCAATATTAATAATAATAATATTATTATTATATAGTTTTATGAAAGTTTGGCTAAACGAGCATCGGCAAATGGTCATATTGTTGATATTTTTGCGGGATGTTTAGATCAAGTTGGATTACTTGAAATGAAATCTATGGTAAATTTCACAGGAGGATTTATGATTCTTTCAGATTCCTTTACTACAGCTATTTTTAAACAAAGTTTTCAAAGAGTATTTAATAAAGATGCTCAAGGAAATTTACAAATGGGATTTAATGCGACACTAGATGTTCAGGTATAACATTATTTCTAATGTTTGTGTTGTGTGTGGTATTTCTATATTTTTAATATACATATATATTTATTTATTTATTTAACGAAATCTTTTAGACAACTCGGGAAATGCGAGTTTGTGGTTTAATTGGTCACGCAATATCTGCTAATAAAAAGAGTGCATCAGTTGCTGAAACAGAAATTGGTATAGCTAATACATCAGCCTGGAAAATGTGTGGAATTACTACAAAAACAACAGCTGCTATATATTTTGAAGTTGTAAGCCAACATGGTCAACCACTTCAACCTGGATCAAGAGGATTGATCCAATTTTTGACTCATTATCAACATTCTAGTGGACAATTTCGTTTAAGAGTTACTACGATAGCAAGAAATTTCGCAGAAGGAAATAGTCCACTAATTTCACAATCTTTTGATCAAGAAGCAGCAGCAGTTCTTATGGCTCGAATAGCTGTATTTAAAGCTGAAATTGATGATGGACCAGATGTATTAAGATGGTTAGATCGTATGCTTATTCGATTATGTCAAAAATTTGCAGAATATAGGAAAGATGATCCTTCTTCATTTAGATTAGCTGAAAACTTTTCAATATATCCACAATTCATGTTTCATTTAAGAAGAAGTCAATTCTTACAAGTTTTTAATAATAGTCCAGATGAAACTGCTTTCTATCGGTAAGATAATAATCTTATAAATGATAAAATATATATTTAACCTTTAAAATTAATTATTATTATTATTATCATCATTATTATTATTATTATTTTTAGACACGTTCTAAACCGAGAAGATGTTAATAATTCACTTATAATGATTCAACCTACATTAATGTCATATGGTTTTGATTCACCTCCTCAACCAGTTCTTTTAGATTCAGTTTCTATAAAACCTGATGTTATTTTGTTGCTTGACACATTTTTCCATATTCTTATCTTTCATGGTGAAACTATTGCATTATGGAGAAAGAGTGGTTATCAAGATCAAGAAGGTTATGAAAATTTCAAAGAATTATTGGAAGCACCCAAAACTGATTCAGAGGTAATATTTAATATATCTTTTAGTATAATATTTAATCTATATTTAATATATATATTTTTAAATAATATTAATAATAATTATAATTAAATAATAATATTATTACAGGAACTTTTGACAGATAGATTTCCTATTCCTCGTTATATTGTTTGTGATCAAAATGGTTCACAAGCTCGATTTTTACTTTCAAAACTTAATCCTTCAACTACACATGTTTCAGGAGGAATGTATGGTCCAACACACGGTCAAGCTATTTTCACTGATGATGTTAGTTTACAAGTATTTATGGAACATTTAAAGAAGTAAGTTATTATGTATTGTTTTAGATTTAAATAAGTATTGAATAAGTATTTAACTAAATTTATTCATATTATTAATATCTTTTTTTATTTATTTATATATTTATTTAGGTTGGCAGTTAGTGGTTCTTCTTAAATTTATTTATTTGTTTTTGTTATTTATTTACTATTTATTTATATTTTTTTTAAAAAAAAAAGAAATTTTAAAATGATAAGCCAATTGGATTATGAAATATAAAATAATAATTAAAATTTAGAATGTTATTATTATAACAATATTATTACATTTAATAATTGTTTCTTATTTAGAATGATGTAAATGTTGTATAATAATAACCATCATAATCATAATCATAATAATAATAATTGAACATTTAATATAATACATATTGATTTTTTATATATATAAACAAAAGAAAAAAATTAAATCTATTCTAGAAAATGAAATTATAACAAAAGAAAATCCAATAAAATTTAGAATTCTCAAAATTATATATAATTCCAAATGCCACAATCTACACATTCAGCTTCTGGTTCACAATCTGGGTATTCCCATTTCCATTTATATAATACATCTTCTATTACACTCTTTATACGATGATTTTGGATGTTAACTTTCCAATTTAATTTTTCTACGGAATCAAATAAACATGTCACTCCTAGATGACATTTAGTTTCCATCTAAGAAAAATAAATCAGATTAAATAATAAAAAATTAAATTAGTGAAATAAAGAATTAATAATAAACATAATAATAATGAAATCTACTTAAGATATCTTACAGCATATCCTCCAATATAACAAGAACTTGACATGCCCTAATAAAAAAAAATGTATTTAAAATAATTAATCAATGATGATAATAAAAAGGAAATTATAATTTGATAAGTGATAAATTCATAAAATATTATTATTACATTACAAACTCCCATAAAAATAGGATCAGCTGAATGACCAATATGCCATATATTCATTTTGTCATACGGAATAGCCGGAGGTTTCGGTAAATGTAATCTCTCAGCAGCTAATCTTTCTCCGGGAGATTCAAATCCTACAGCTGGTAAACCAAAAGTAATTCCAAGTAAGGAGGAAAGTGCACCACCAAGAGAATGTCCAGTTAACCAAATTGTAGCATTTGGATATTCATCTTGCACATTATAAAAAAGGTTCTTTTATTGTACAAATAGAAATTATTTAAAATTTATTTAAAATTATAAAATAGAATTAATATTAATTATATTATAATTACCATTGCAATATTGTAATATACATCTTCATGATCTAAACTTTTTTGCACACAATCAAGTTCACATTCGAATTTGTTTTGAGTATTGCATTTGCATACTGGATTCCATGTAACGCCCGTCGCACAACAACAAGAAAACAAAAGATTATCCTAGATAAATTAAATAATTAATTTTCATTAATTAAAAGAATATATATAATAAATCGGTTCGTAATGGTTCGTGAATTAAGAAAAAAAAAAAAAAGAAAAGAAAACTGTACTTTACATTTGTCTTATCCTTTGGTACTGTCGGACCTGCATTAAAACCCATACTGGTACCTTTAAATGCAATGATTATTGTTTCATTTTTTTCATCACCAAATACATGTCCTCGAATTCCATCACCTTCCCATCCAAAAGAATCACGCTATTAAATAATGCAAAAGATTCGTCAGATCTCTTTTTATCTTTCTTTCTTTATTTTTAAAGATAAAAGTTTTATAATTAAAGGGATTGAATTATTATTCTTACCCGATGATAATCATCACCAAGGTCATACCAATCTTCATTTTCTTCCAAAGTATAAGCATTATAAGTAATCTTTGCCAAATTGATTAAAGTATCCCAATCTTTTACATCAGGTAACATTCCTTCGGTAGTTTCCCAATCCATTTTTAATGAAATTTGTTCATTCTTAGATTTTTGACGATATTCATCTATTGGATATTTCGTAGGTGTCATTTTTGTACCATTTATCCCCTTAAGAGTATATGTAAATGATACCCCAGTTTTAAGCTCGTGTACACGTAAAGAAGCTTCACTAATATCTTTACGGCGTATAAGATTAGGATATTTTGAAGTACAACGATGATAGATATGTTTTAAGGTAACTGTCTTTGGATCACCCGTTGATTTATAAGAATATCTTTTGGAAGCGTTCTTCTCCACCTCCACGTGTTTCACTTGTTGTTTCGTTTGTTCTTCTCGTGTCCATATAATATTAAAAGTTGTAAGAAATGAAATCACAAAAAGCAAGATAGAAAACCGTTTAATATTAAATGTGTTCATATGTGCAGAATAATATTATCAATAAATAAAGTAAAGTATGATTTAGTCGTTTCTTAAAAAGATCCCTTATTTTAATAAAGTCGGAAATATCACATGATAAATATGTGCCATTTTGTGAAACCAAAAGTCTTTAAAATTTCCCATAAAAAAGGTCTCCCAATTGATTTTTAAAATTCTTACACGCGGGTATACATGTTGCCGAAAATTAGCCAGAATTACGGCATGCCGAAAATGTTGCGTTTTTTAACTTTTTTTGACTTCGCTCGCGATATACAAAATATAGAGCAATTTTCTACTAAGATGTTTTTATAATAAATCGAAAGGCCTTATTCTTGGTTATAAATTAGTATGTGTTTCATTTCTATAGTGTTGATATTCATAGAGTTATTACAGTTTAAAGTAAAATGTTCATGAAGATTTTTTTGATTTTAACTGTAATAACTTGATGAATATCGACACTACAGAGATGAAACATATATCATTTTGTAGCCAAGGGCAAGGCATTCCGATCTACCATAGAAACACTTTAGTAGAAAATTGCTTCATGTTTCATAAATCGTGAGCAAAGTAAAAAAAAGTACAAAAAAATTTTGAAAACTTTTTAGCCAAACTGAATTTCTTGTCCAATTCATTAAAATTATATTATCTTTCTTGAACAACTGCAACCTCTACAATGAAGGTTGGTGTAAACAGTTTTCTTGATATGTACACTGTTGAGAATCATCTAGTAAAGTGAAACTTCCTTGAGAGGTAGTAACAATTTCATCTCATGTTCCAATTCATTAAATTCAGGCAAATTCACAAGGGTCCAGGATCCACTAGTATTTAAGATATATTTCTTATTATTTGTTTTTTGGAGAAAATTTTAAAGTTGATGTATGTATTAAGGATGGTTGGCTCAATTAATATTAGGTCTAGCTCAATTATTGCACCTCTAGCTAATTGATTTTCTCCTGGCTAAATTCTGACTCAATGGCTAAATAGGACTAAATGGTTAAATTCTGGTTTAAAGACTAAATTCTAGCTAAGTTCTGGTGCAATTTTGATTGGCTAGCACCTTATGATCACGTGAAAAGATCATTATTATAATTGAATAATTATTTAAATTACCAATATTAATATTTTTAATAAATTATCTTCAAATGTTAATAACTTTACAAAAATTAGTATTTCAAAAATAAAACATACTGTATTTTGTAAGTTATAGTATTCTGGGTCTTTTATAAATTTTGAGATTTTAGTCTTATAGAAATAGGAAGGTATTGTGAATAGGAGGGATATATGATTTGTAAAATATCTGGAATATTATTTATGTATAGTATCTGGGTATATTGTTTTAATATTACATTATTACATTACATTACATATGTCCTTATTTTTTATAATATTTAAATATAAACATGTTTGATTCTTGTTTTAATAAAGTCTTCAGTAGTTATTGGCAATAAAAAAAACAAGAAAGTATACAATTATTTATCACAAAAGAAATGAAAACAATAGAATGTATGCAAAAAATTGATGATAATACATTATTTGAAAAATAATGAAAATAACAAATGTGGAACTGCAAAAGATTTAATATTGAACCTAAACAAGTACATAACTAATACAATAATAAGAAATTGCATCTCATATTGTTAAAATTTATTTAGGTAAATTTATCAAATATATTAATTTAGAAGAAGATTTATTTGTATAAATATCTGAAAGAAGAACCAATCAAAATATTGTTACTAGAAAAATAATAACCAAGAAAATAATTGACTTGTTTAGAAATAAGGATTTTTAAAAAATTATTCAGATGTTTTTAAATTTAAATTTTCAGATAGATAGCTTAATGGATTTTTATTAAGATATAATCTTAGTGAACACTATAGAATAACAGTAATATAATATTTACTATCTGATTTAATTGAAAAACAAAATATTTTTTTCAGTTATATTTTATATTAAAGAATTCAACATAATTATTTACTAAAATATATTGCAAACATGGATGAAATACCAATGTGGTTCAATCTACCAAGTAATACAACTATTGATTTTAAAAATACAAAAATGGTTAATATTTGTACTACTAGACATGAACATTCATCTTTTACTGTGTATAGCTAATGGAAGTAAACTTCTGGTAACTTGTATTTTTAAATTAAAAAATTTATCATAAGATAAATTTCCATATGGTACTTATATACAAGTTAATAAAAAAAGATAGATGAATGAAGAAGAGATATTTTGGTGAATTGAAAATATATAGATTTCAAAAAATCCTTTTAATAATTCACATTCTATATTGATATTGAACTCTTTTCAAAAACATATTGTAAAATCTGTCAAAAATCAATTGGTAAAAAAAAATATCAATATTGTTATAATTCCAGGTAATTGTATATCAAAATTATAACCATTAAATATTTCAATTAATAAAAGTTTTAAATCAAAAGTAATAAATTTATTATTAAATAAATATTTATATTTATATTTATTAATAATTTATTTTTGATAATTTAGGTTAAAGAGCAATACAATAAATAGATGTTATCTACTATTCATACTTTTATACTAGCTGAACAAATTAAAAAACCTTCCTATTAAATTGTAACAATATAGGTTAAGAAATCTTGAGATGAAGTTGATGTCAACCTTATTAAAAAATCATTTAAGTACTGTAAAATTTCAACCAAAACTGATAGTTCAGAATATGAATCTATATTTAATTATGATAGCTTATTAAATGAGACAAATGTTGATAATGATGATGATGAAATAAAAAATTCAGATAATATAAATGATAATGATAATAATAATTATGAATATTCTAATAATAATAATTATATAAATGTTTGGAATATTGAGAAAGATAATGATAATAATAATAAAAATTATAATAATAATGAAGAAGAAAATAATAAAAATAATAATAATGAATATACTGATAATAATAATAGATAAAATAAAATTTGTATTAGGTTTAAAATTTAATAAAAAATAAAATTAATAAAAAAATATAATATCTAGAATACTTTACAAATTTACATTAATTTTTCTATAATATTCCATATAAAATATCTGGATATTTTAAAAAATTTCTAAAATTTTTATAAGGGATACTATATATAGAGAAGATACTATGGTCTGCAAAATACAGTATATCATTGTGTAGCTAAAAACTAAAGTTTTCAATTGGTCATAAAAATATCTTAGTAGTGTCACATTAACTTGTAAATAAGGGTTTGAAGGATAACTAATATTCTCAACCAAATATCTAAAACTACTTAAATAATTTATTACAATTTTACAAGAATTACTAAAATCTATTTAACTTAAACTATTTATCAAAGATTTTTAAAAGAATATTACAAGATAAGTTTTTTATTGTAAAAGGATTTTAACATATCAAACTAGTTTGTTTACTTGATAAGATGTATAGTTAAAAGTTAATTACATAAGATTTATTCAAAATTTATAGAAGATTATGTGACAAAATAATAATATATAAAATTAATTGGAATATTTAATAAGTTATAACTTTTATTAATAAATATAATGATAAATATAAAGATAAAATACAAAATGAATATTTAAAAGATTACTAAAAAGAATAGTGTGAAAAAGTAGCACTATGAGAAGTTAAAAATAATAATTGAAAAAGAAAAAAAAAAGAAAAAATTAATTTAAAAAAAGAGAAAAAAATAAGAGAATATAATGACAGTATAAAGTTAATAGAAATTAATGAAGGAAAATATAGTAAAATAGAACAAATAGAAAAGAACACAATACATAAATTTAGAATGTAAATTAACTTAGGATGCAAATATAATAATAATTATAGTTAGTCATCAGTTTCTGAGGTTACACTTAAATAATGATGAGTCTAATTATAAAATGTTATTTTTAGTCAGTTTCAATAAATGTAAAATAAATTGTATGTATCTTTAAAATTTACATTTAATTTATTAATAAAAGTTTATTGGAGTAAAACTCTGTTAGATTTAAAAAAAAAAATAAAAATAAAATACAAAATAAAAGTAAAAATTATAAATTAAAGATATTAAATAAAGATTATCAAAGAAAATTTCAGATTTATTTAAATCTCTTATTTGAATCTCTGTTCTTATTTCTTTTCTTTAAGGTTAAAAAAAACTCATATTTTTATTTCTTTAATCTATTATACTATGAGATTTACAAATTTACAAATCTATTAATTTTGATCACTAGTTGAAAATTAATAAATCATATACACATCAGGTACCTGATATATGCATGGTATACCTGCCACCCAAATTCAAAATCCAAATGCCAAAATCCCAAATGCCAAAATCCCAAATCCCAAATCCCAAATTATGATTAGTATTTTTTGCCGAAATCCCAAATCCCAAATACTAGTAATTTGGGATTTTGGCATCCCAAATCCCAAATGATTTGGGATTTGGGCAACACGTATAGTGCATGGTACATCTCTAATATCAGGTATATATCAAATACCTGATAGATGTAGAAAATATTTTATATATATATCGGGTATTCAATAAGTGTAAAAAAATCTTTTCTATACCTATCGAATACCTGATATATATATAAAATATTTTCTACACCTATCGGGTATCTGATATATACCTGATATTAGGGATGTACCATGCATATATCGAGTACCCGATATGTGTATTATTTATCAATTTTTGACTAGTGATAATTGTTATTTATATATTTAATTATGTGATAAATTTAATTTCAAATTAAATTCTAATTTATATAAACTATTATATGAATCATTATATCTATTATATAATCAAATTATTGTATAAATTATTATATAAATTATAAAAAAATTAATAAAAAATTTTTATATAATTATAAATTTAATATCTATTGTAATATAAATATAATCAAATTTACTTTATTGTAATTTTCAAATTAGTGTATTAATGTAAAAATCTAATTTTATATAATTGAAAAATATTCAAATACCTTATCAATAAGAATACATGACTAATCTTCAA